GATTCTATGCTTTACTTCAGGTATTGAAACCATTCTGTTAGGCATCATTCTACATTATAAACCAACCACTGAGCTAACCAACCCCACCTTGTTAAAAATGCACCATACCTTTACAGTAACGGTCTCATGTATCTTGTGCCCACCAGTGGGTTTTTTCCTGCTACCAACACCATATTTAAAACCCAACTCGTTCACCTGTTCAAATGCTGTAAGCCAGGAAAAGACCTTCACTCCAGGTGCACGGGAGTAAATGAAACACAAAAGCTTCAGAGGGCGTAGGGGTGACACTTCATTAAAAATAGAAAATCATATTCGGAAATGCATTAGCACTTTAATCATCAGTGGTCTGCTCCCCGGCATTGTAGCTGCAGCTATAAGTACAGAGGCTACCTGTCCATACTGGCTCTCTCATTAACACCCAACCTAGCACAACATCTTGTCATTGATGAATTTGGAAATAGCAAAAGTTGTAAAGTCAATACGGTGTGGAGCTGGAGGAACACAGCAGGTCAGGCAGCATTAGAGGAGCAGGAAAGTCAGCGTTTTGGGTTTACACCCTTCATCAGGAATGGGGAGGGGATAGAGGGCTCAGAAGTAAATAGAGGTAGGGGGTGGGGCTGGGGGGAGGTAGGTGGGATAGTGATAGATGAATGCAGGTAAGGGGTAGTGGAGATTGGTCAATGGGAAGGGAGGGGTGGATAGGTGAGGAGGAAGATGGACAGGTTGTGTCAGGTCAAGGAGGCAGGGATGAGAGGGAAGGTTGGACATGGGATGAGGCCCAGGGTGGGGAGACACCATAGCAGCCATTGAGAACATGTTGGTGAGCTGCCTTCTTGAACCAGAGTTATACTTTAAGGGCACACCCACAGTGTTGTCGGGGCCGGATTCCCAGGATTTTGACATAACGACAGTGAAGGAGTAGCAATTTATTTCCAAGTCTGGATAGTGTGGGAACCTGTGTCTGTTAGTTTTGCCATTCTAGATGATACAGGTCTCAGAGAAGGTGGAATCAAGGGCACAGCAAGATTTGATATTCAGGTAACTGCATAACAAAGAGAAAAAGACTGGTTTTCATATATCTCAGAATGACGTGGAAGGAAATATGAACATATAATGATTATCATTGTTAATTGTATTTTTAAGGTTATGAATGTACCTATGGAGGATATTGAATGATTAAGTATCTCGAACAAATATAAAGAGATACTTCCCTTTTTTTGAAGAGGCTGCTCCTTAATCTTTGGCTTCACTTCAAATGCATCCTCCTGATCTTCAACCATCTGGTGAGGAGGGAGGTGTGGGCAGATCAGAGGACCACCTCCCGGGCCTGATCCTGGGTCCAGCCAAGATGGCCAATTCACAGGCTCAAGATGTGGGCTGTGGAGGTCATGCCTACACCCACAGGAGGACTTCCACAACCAATGGTTACCTCTGGGTCTGGAATGAACCACTTATCCTGACAATCAAATATTAACTTAACTTTTGTAAGTTTCCTTTGAGGATTTAATTCTGTTATGGTGTGCATTTAATGGGCTGTACTTTGTTAATGACTTATTTTCAAATAAAGTACAAAAGAAGACTTCAGAAACACATTGGTGCTGGTTAAGGAGGAGGCTGATGTATGTAATGTTGCATTTTGTAAATATATCTAGCATTATGTAAAAAGATTGCTGCCTGGATTGGTTTAGCTTGTGAATAAATTAACACTGATAGTAATTAAGTGATACATTACTGTATTACAAGTGTCATAATTCCAGAGAGAAATGAGCCTGACATGTGCTCTACACAAATCTATGGAACCTGGCAATTTCAGAATGCAACAGCAGGAAATCACCCATCTCTTCATTCCTAATTACCTTCACACTGTCGATCTCAGCTCCAGCACATACCTACGCATTGTGGCTACAAGAAAGAATTTCTAGTCTGGGTAATAGGTCTGGAACTTCCACCCATACCCAGAATCTGCTGCCAGAGTGAAACAAGATCATTCACATTGGAGTTGGGACTGGCAGAGAGATTAGGGAGGCACTGTACACATATCTCGAAGCAGGTGGCATTGGGATTTTCAGGGAGAAGAAGGGCACCTATGTAGTTCGGGATATGAGATGGAGTAGTGTCTCTCTGAATTGGTGGGCTTGGAGTGGGGAGAGCAAAACGTCTAAACCAACAGCTGGGAAGCGGACCTCTGTGAAGGGGGAGACAGGTCAGCATCTGTGGGAGAGTGGCTGTGGCTTTTAATGAAGCAGTGGTCTCATTTGTCTATTGAATAAGTATAAAACCACATGTAATTTACTTTTCGGATCATTTTAATTTAAAATCTATAAATCGTGAAATGTTCATGGGAAAACACCATTTTTAAAGTAAACTTATGGAGTCCATTGCCCTGAAACTTGCCCACCCCCTCTACCCAGAAATTCGTGTAAAGTGAACATGGGCAAAGGGTTTAGAAGGAAGGTATATAATACTCAATGTGCTGCCTACAACATTGTATCCAACTATATTGTGAATGTAAATTCAAGCTCATCTCTCTTTGATCCTCATGGACAATGCAACAGCCAATAAAAGATACATGTGGTGGAAGAATCATTCCATTGGTATGACTAGGCAGCTAAGTTGAAACGGAAACAACCTGATAGATAGGACCTCTTCCACAATTTTGCAAACCTGGCAGTCATTCCTTACAAATGGGAGTTGCAGACTCTGGCTTATGTAGGAGATTGTTATCTGGGCTGTTATGGTCATTTAGTGCATCATGTTGTTTACATTTTGTTTGGATTCTGCAGATAATTGGTTTGTTTACATTGTTTTATGTACTAACATTTTTAATTACTGGAGGCTGTGTATTTCACATCCATCTATGCACTCTCTGTTTTATTTATCCATTTAAAGTTGAGATCATAAGACATCACTCCAAGCACAAATTTCACTTCATAGCCAGTAACATCTGAATTATATTGGCCAACTACATAGGTATGTCAGAGTTCAACATTCATGTATAAACACACCTGGTTGAAATACTGTACATGTGTACAGACATATCCAGTTAGACTTCTGTGTTCATAAACAAATACACCCAGTTAGAGTTTTATATCTGTGTACAAACAGACCCCGTTTAGGGTTCTGCACTCATGCGCCATACGCCCGGTTAGAATTTTGTGCTCATACAAATACACCCAATTACGGTTGTGTACTCGTGTACAAAAACACCAGAAAGAGTTCTGTGATAACAAGGTGTAGAGCTGGATGAACACAGCAGGCCAAGCAGCATCAGAGGAGCAGGAAAGCTGACGTTTTGGGTCTAGACCCTTCTTCAGAAATGCAGTTCCCACTATCTCAGAAAGAGTTCTGTACTTGGATGTAGGCACATTGTGTTAGAGATTCCCATCCTAGCCAGTAGCTGTTTCCATATTTTTCAAATATGGATCATTGCTTCGGATTGTGAATTTACTAAAGATCCAGACAACGAGCTGAACATTTTTAAGAATGTCATGGTGTCCGGAAGTCCGCTCAATGTTAGTGCAGTCAGACCCAGGGGCTGCACTCTGATGTGTACTGAAGGGGTCAGATGAAGCCCTGTCTGCTGTATTAGGACACGTTTTAATGTGTGACACTGCTCTGTTTTAGAGCATGTTCAGTGATTCCGGAATGTTCATCCATTGAGTAACCTGATCCAACCTACTGCCTGGGATGGCTTGGGGGGAGGGCTGGATTTGGACTGCCTGTCTAACTTCGATATATATTTTATCTTTACAGTTGAAAATGTAACGTTTGTTGCCAGTTGTAAACTGTTCGGATTTAGTTCCCTGTCCGTAATCCCTGTGGATGGGCTGTACACATGATCCTCTCACCGCCCCACACACCCACAGACAGACTCACACTTCCGCCTTCACAGAATACCCTAAATACTAATTTCACAATGTCACGCCATTCATATGCAAGCTTTCTGTCTCACAGCTCGCTCGGTTTCCTGAAACGAGAGCTACAGACCGGTCTGCACAAGGCCCAGAAATATACCAACATGTCCATCTCCGGGAACAATACAGCCTGGTGACAAGTAATCATCAACGGGTCGCCAAAAAAGCCTCCCCGTGTCACTGCCTTTTCCGCGTTATCCTAATTAAGAACACAGCAAGACTTTTTTTTAAACAATACTGGTAATTCTCAGCATGTCAGGCACCATCTGGGACATTTCATCACAATTAGATCTTCACTCTGCTGCTCCGGAATTCCAAGCACTTCCCTTTGTTTAACACCAATGGTTTCCAATGTGAAATGCCATCTCTGTATGTGTATGTGTTTTCAACAACTCTAGTGAACTGATAGTCTTGTGACGAGGTGGTAGTGTCCCTACCTCCGAGACTGGCGATCCGTGTTCAAATCCTACCTGTTCCCGAGGTGTATCACAATGCCATAATATTAATGATTATTCATAACATCCCTGAATCAAGTGATTAAACTATCTGTCCGCGTTTGTGTTATTTCCTAAAAAGGGCTCGATGTAAAGATCCCTTTTCCCTATTCAGAAATTACACACCCCTGGAATGGGGAGGGACTTGAACCTGGGTCTCCCAGACCAGAGGTGTGAACACTACCAATACACCACAAGAGCCCCTTAACCATTGATAACTTATGTTAGAGGGAAAAATTGCAATCAATCAGTAAAAGGTGCCTTCCTGCCCACGTTGGGGGCGGGACATACTTCAGTCCTAGGTTTCAGCTTGTTTACATTCCGCCACGTGCACATCTTATACTTTATGGAAATATTTCTGTTTTGATGAAAGAAGGTTTTGTTACTAGGGGGCACTTTATTATTGAACACGAGCAATTCAATTCTTTGTGCGTGTGCGGGGAGAGGATGCGTCTCCCCCTGGCGAAGTGAATGTGGTGAGGAAGCAGAAGGTAATATTTGGGGCGAGGGTCTGTCTCTTGCCCTCTCTGGGAGGGGCTGAGGGTCGATTAAAGGCGGGACGTTGTGTTGTGTCAGGGGTGATTCTTTTCTGATGTGTCTGTGTGTGTGTGTAATGCGTTGGTGTTACTTCCCAGCTAACCAGACGCAGCGTTCATATACAGAGAGAGAGAGAGACATTCCTGGGAATGATGTCAGGGATCTTGCGGAAGGAACCTCATTTCCCTGGAAGTACGTGCCTGAAGTAAAGTTGAGCTCTCGGCCGAGAGCGAGATCAGAGCTACACAGAGAGAGAGAGAGAGAAGGGGCTGGTCATGGTTTACAAATGACAGTAGCATCTTGTGACAGGGCAGGCACTGACAGCTCGCTTAAGGTGCAAGACCCGAAAGGGACTGTCAACATTCACATTCATAAAGGGGAGGAAAAGGAGCAGGAAACAAAGAGCGAGAGAGAACGGATAAAGCAGCCTGAGGGGCAACGAGAGGCTTTGGAAACGCATCGATCAAAGTGAGGATCTGGAATCTAGTCGGTGTGTTTTATTCTGTTTCGGGACTACAGATCTCCACCACCAGTGATTGGTTGAGGAAGATTAACTTTTCTGTCCTGAATTTTCAATCTGCTCTCTGATTACAGCCCCCCCCCCCCCCCCCCCACCTACAATATGCTGGGTTGATGGGGGAATGGCCTCCGCGGTGTTTGAAGGAACCTCCTTGGTGAATATGTTCGTGAAGGACTGCTGGGTGAACGGAGTCAGGAAGATCATCATCAACAGGCGGGAGGAAGAGTTTTTCGAGATCAGGACCGAGTGGTCAGACAGGAACGTGCTGTACTTACACCGGAGTTACGCCGACCTGGCCAGGGTTTTGAAGAGACTGACAGATGCCTTCCCCGAAGATCAGGCGGAACTTTCCCGCTCCCCTCTGGTCGAAGGTTTGAACACTTCACATTCCTGTCTAAATTCACTATTCAAGTTCAACTCGCCTCACTTAGCAACAAGTTCTGTGTGTGTGTGTGTGTGTGTGTGTTTGGGGGTAGATGTGTGGGGGGGGGGGGGGGTGGGGGGGGGGGGGGTGGGCGGTGGGGGTGTATGTGGGGGACGGAGTGTGGGTGAGTGGGGGGTGGCAGGGTGGGCTGTGTGGGTGTATATAGGGGATGGTGGATGATGTGTGTGTGTGTTTGGGGGGTAGATGTGTGCTGGGGGCGGAGTGTGGGGGTGGCTGGGTGGGCAGTGTGGGTGTATGTGGGGGATGGTGGGTGGTGTGGAGGCGCTAGTAAATGTTTGTCATGTGGAGGAGATTATATGTATATGTGTGTGGGGTGGTATGTGTGTGTGGGAGGAGTTGGTGTGTGTGTTTGTATGTGTAAGGAGTGATGTGTGTGGGTAAGAGTGATGTATGTGTGGGGTGAGGTTTGGTGTGTGTACATATGTGTGCAAGGGTGTATGTGTTGTATGTGTGTGGGGGGGTGGTGCTTGTGTTTGTCTCTATGTGTGAGCAGTGATGTTTGTGGGTGAGAATGATGTGTGTGGGGGGGGATGTTGGTGTGTGTGTTTCTGTGTGTCGGAGTGGTATGTGTGTGTATCTGGTGAGTGGTGTGTATGTGTGTTTAGGGGGGTTTGGTGTGTGAGTTTGTGTGTGTAGAGGTAGTATGTGTGTGTGGGGAGGATATTAGTATGTGTTTGTATGTAGGGGTAGTGTGTGCGTGTATCTGGGGAATAGTGTGTATGTGTGTGTCTGTGTGTGTGGTGGGAATGTGGGTGAGTGGTGTGTGTGGTGGGGATACAAAGTTTTGAAATAATTCTGTTTACTTGCCAAATGATAAGCGATTTGACATTAATGCACCAACAAAATGATTCTTCTCTCCTCGTATTTAGTGAATTTTACACAAGTTTAGCTTCAAAATCTTTTAGAGAAAAGCAGCTGAAGCGTCAGATTGGTTTTGAAGACAATCGAATTTAACAATAACTTGTGATTTAAAGGAGGGAGTGGTGGTGCCTGGAGTCACTAGATTCAGATTCAGACAGTTGTCACTGCGTGGGTGAAGCTTCAGTCAACTTTAATCTGTTTTTCAAATTTAAACATCCCACTGTCTGTGTAGCTCAGTAACAACTGATTCTCTGTGAAACATCAGGGGATTCTCATATACAACTTCTTAAAGTGTTTGCTTTCAAAACAATTAAACAGACGGATCATTCCCCATTTTTCAAACAAGAAAGTAGTCGCAGAACACAATTGGATGGGCTTTTAAAATAAAACCGAAAATACAATTTGATTTTGAAACAGTTTTGTAAACTCTACATAAAGCGGTGACGCTGCTTCAGAAACTACTAGTGGCCGGAGTGGCTGGTGATTTGGAAAATAATTTCCTCCAAGTATCCTGCTCTCCTCCCCTCCTCAATTTCGTAAAAAGGAAACAGCGAAATCCTTACGCGTGGCAGCATCGCTTTTTCCGGTGTAAAGTTACCGTGAGGCGGTCAGTTTTTTCTATTATTGATACGTGGAGATGCTACACAGAGAGGAAAACGATCTCTGGGACTCCGTTTCCTCGTCCCTCCCAGCCCATTTGTGTCATTTTCCTTTTGTTTTTTTTAATCGTTCGCTCTTTGCATTTCAGTCGGTGACCCCATCGCCGGCCACTTTCTGTCACTGTTTAGCAACTTTCCAGGGAACTGCGTCCCCTTCCCTTTGTACTCTACAGTAGTGTCCCTCCTGCTCCACTCCCTTGCTCATCTTCCTCTTGTTTTGGAAGTTAAGTCGCATTTGGTCTGAACTTGTCTCTTTCAGTGTCTTTTGACTAAGGCTTGACGCCCCTTCCAGGCTACAGGCGTAATTACAAAATAAACCTTTGAATCAGTTACCAAGCGTCGCCCTGCACAGTAGAGCAGTTTTATTTTAATGACCCCCTCCCCCAAACCCACATCCAAAAATAGCTGTCAACATAACCCTATGTGTGTGTGTTGGGTAGTGGGCCAGAGAGGAGTGTGTTCTCCTTATTAGTCTACAGAAATGAAAAGGGGCACTGTGTTGTTGGAAAAGTGATGAACAAACTTTTTTTTACAGTTTGCAGTGTGAGGGAAAGAGAAAGGAGACAATGCCACGAGTCATTTTTATCATGACACACACACACACATCTGTGACATGTAAGATTCTGACGGAGGCTCCACAGGGTGGATGTTGAAAGTATGTTTCCACACACGGGAGAGTCTGGAACTCGGAGACACAGTTTAAAAATAAACGGTCTCCCATTTAAGGTGGAGCTGAGGAAGAATTTCGTCTCTCAGAGAGACAGTGATGTTTGAAGTTATTTTCTCAGAAAGCAGGAGAAGCTGGGTCGTTAGATATATTCAAGGCTGGAATTAGATTCCTGACTGACAAGGGGGAACAGACAGGGTTGGAACTGAGGCCACAATCAGATCAGCCCAGATTTTATTGAATGGCAGAGAGGGTTCGAGGGGCCAAATGGCCTCACCTTGTTCCTTTTTTTTATTATCGTAAGATGCCTCAATTTATGAAGGTCTATCAAGGTTTTAAAGTAAGTGTTGGCGAAAGGTCCCGACTAAAGGATATTGTCCCTTCAATGGAATTGTAGGATAGCACACAAGCAGAAATATTACTTTCCCTATACCCTGTCCATGTTCAGGTGTCCACAGATAGCTTTGTAAAATGGGCCTTGACAGTATGATTGCTCAGCCTGAATTCCAGCCTCATTCTTGCTTTGTTTCTGACAGTAACACTCTCGCCTCTGAATCACAAGGTTCACATCTTACGTCAGGGCCTGTGCGAAAGTAAAAATCAAGGTTGATATGCCAGTGCTGTACTGATGGAGTGCTGCACTGTTGGAAATGCTGTCTTTTGCATAAGATGCTAATCTGAGGCCCTGTCTGCTGACACACGTGGATGCAGAAGATTTCATGGCAATGCTTTGAAGGGGAGCAGGGGAATGGGGTTGGCCAACATTTACGTCTCAGTCCATGTCACAGCACGCAATATTACCTGGTCATGATCAGATTGCTGTTTGTGGGAGGTTGCTGTGTGAAAATTGGCTGGCATGCTTCTAAACCCAACACAGAGATTACCCTTCTAAAGTACTTCATTGATTGTAAAAGAATTTGAGATATCTAGTGGTCATTAATGGTGCTGTATAAATGAAAATCCTTTCAGTAGCTCCTATTGTGGTGATTAGTACCCATCTTATTGCACTCCCTTTCTCATACCTGAGGCATTGTGTTCCTTTCAGTCTCACACCTTCAGCAAAAAAAATCTTGATTGTGAACACCCCTGTTGTCATAGATCATCCGAAATTACCACGCATGGATGCCATCTGCATTTTTGACTCATTTCCAGCAATGATCCTGGTATTTGGGCGTCAGAATATTGAGAGATTCTGAAAGGTTTTCCAGGTATGAGGTAAGAAGCCAGTAGGTTCCAGAAACTGGAATCGATCTAAATAATTGGTGCAATGTTCGTTGTCCTTCAGTGAATGGTTTTTAGTTTATGTTCCAACTCACAAGGCAAATGAATAAAACATTGAGGTAAATGAATAGCTAGCTGACAAAGATACAGTTCACTGTAAACATTCAGGGCACCACATTGCTTATAAGGTGACAAAGCAGCTCAATATATGGGGGGAAACAGTTAACGTTTGTAGCTGAATGATGGAGTGCTATAATTAAAGGTGTTTGTATAAACCAGAACAGAAAAGTATTAAACAAAATAAATCATCCGGTTTCATTCCTTAGGAAAAGGTTTGTCTAGAGCAACATTGGGAAACTAAGGCAAGAGTTGGGGAGAGTTCATAGAGGCTATTGGTGGTAAGGACTCAGTGAGATATGTGAACAGTTTCTTCATTGTAAAGATGAAGCTAATAGAGCATACATTAGTTTACGTGATCTGAAGTTGGCATTTCCTGCGAAGCGTCCTGATAAGTGCAAGATGAAAAGCATTGCCAAAATCTGTCTTTTTCCAACCAAATTCAAGTTCTGTACTACCAAACAACAAGAAAGAAAGGATCCGAGTGAAACATATTGCTGAGGGATAGTTAGGCTGAGGAAGAACAGCCACTTATAAACAGTGAAGGAAATGCAATGTGTTGCGCATTAAATTGTACAGAGGAAATTAAGTGTGAGTTAAACAGACAGTTACCAAAATGGACAGTGATTAGCAATTAAATTGACAATAAATGACAGAAATCCAAAAGAGGTAAAAAGGGGTATACCTTGAGAGGAATATGAAAAATATTGAGACAGATTAAATAAATGTTAGAATACAAATTAGCAACCATAGAAGTGGACAATATGTTATTTCAGTGAAGGAAAAGACAAAGTTAGAACCTGAGTGGATGAAATCTGCTGGTCCAAATGGCTTAATACTAGGAGGATATACCTCAGGAGACAGTGGTGGGTGTTGGCTGCAATCAAAACAGATTTGTTTCAGCCTGTTGGGTTCCACAATATCTGTAATGTATATTCCAAAGGGTGAATCTAACCCAAGCAACATCCAGAGCATAAAGTCAACATTTGATAACATAATAGAAATTATTCTGAGGAAAAAGACTGGAGGTGTACCTGTGAAATGGTTTTGCTACCTATGAAATGGTTTAGTGAGGAGAAGGCAGTATGTATTTGGAAAAATCTCCTGATTCTTTTGAAAATATTACAAAAAAAAAAAGAGAATGGAGCTCCCGGCTGTTAGATGCTTTGAATGCCTTTGACAAAGCCCTCATTCAAAAACCTCCAAAAAGGCATGAGATTTCAGGGAACATGGGACTGGAGAAATAGATAAAAGTAAGAAATAGTGTACCCTTGAGAAAGTCATGGAATACAAGAGAGATAAAGTACCAAGGCAGTCGGTGTCTGGACAATCGCTTCTTCTTAGATACATCACTTATCTGAGAACAAGAAATGATTTGAAGCATTCAACTTGTCAGTGGAC